CAAACATGTTAATTCAAACACCAAAAACTCAATTACACCACCAAATTCATCCAAATTAAACAACTATGCAACATCTCTAACAATTAAGCCATGAATTCATACGCATGTAAACATAAATTTACCATCAAATAAACATCAAAATATAAGCTTCTTGTGGTGTAGTGAGGATTGCACCTACCTCACTTGTAGCTTGACAAATCCTTCATCTTTTTAGTTTGAAGTTCTTCCTTCTTCTTCCTTCCAAAACTTTCAGCCCAATTCCTACTTTTTCCTCTTCCTTTGGTTAATTCTCCAAGCTAGTTTTAGATGATTTTTTAGGATGTTTTTAGGATAGTTAAGGTGATTGAGAGTAGTGGTTTGGTGAATTACTCCTTGGTTTAGCTTGATTTCTTCTTAGTGTATCGTTGTATATATGAAAATTTCCAACCCTTTCTTCCTCTCTTCTAGCCGAATTTAAAGGGAGAATTTTCCTTTGGATTAACCCCTAAATTTTATGATTTTAAACTCTCTTCAAAATCATGACGGAATATAATATATTCATAAACACCAAATATTAAAATGATCATTCACATAATCTTACTTAAAGTTTCGCAAGTGGCTTTAATACTACCGTTAGGATTTGAAGCAATATCAAAAGAAATAGATGCAGCTGAAATAACATCATAAAAAAAATGCTTTGAAAAACCACAAGATCTATGCAAAAACAACAACGTCGGAGGATCGGATCATTACACAGTAGTGCAAATCACATCTCTTACATAACGAATGGCTGAATCACAATCACATGCCAATGAATTGCACCTCTATTAGTATCCATATGAACATCTTGATCACTAAAACAATTCTATAATGGAGAGTCACCTCTTGTCAAAGTGCTATCTACGAGTTGTGGTGCTTAAAGGCTGGATCACTCTTCCTCTTAAGGCAATTACGGTTTTCTCTTAAGGTTACTAGGGTTTTTGTCTCACATACTATTCCGATAAAAACCAATATTGCATGTTTTTTTTTATTTTATAACAACTATAACGTGTGTGAGCCACTAGTCCCACTAGAAAATTAATTCCCTAAACCTAAGGAGAGAGAAAAATTGGCTAATTATTTTGACAAATTAATGTCCAACCTTGGACTTGGACTTCATTAAGCCTATTTTGTATGTCTTAATCGAACCGGCCCATTATTCTAATTAAATATCATAATCCAGAATGTATTTTAATCTCATTAGAAATCTTAATTTGGCTAGGAATCATAATTTAACTAGGACTTCTAGTTATGCTCTAACTTCTAGTCGCTCTTTGTATGTGATCTTATAAGTTCTTATTACATTAGTGGTGACCTTAAAATCATAATTTAAAATCACAAATAGTGAGCGACATCTAGTAATTTTACACTACTACCCGAGTAATAAGAATGTCGATAATTCAATATAACCTTATCTATAGCATATGTTACCATATAATATGGTCCTTTTGTCCTAGATGTCTAGATCAAACAAGAGGCAAGAATGTGTCATCCTCACATAGTTTAATCTTAGCATTTTTTTATCCTAGAGTAGACAATTCCAAACAAATGAGATCGATATCTCATATCAACTCATTTGAGCATAGCCATGCATTTCACAATCTCTCTCAATTAAGGGGACTATAGACATCACTCTCATTATATATGAGGGAACAATCTTATCTACATCACTCACATCCCTTTGCATGATTCATGGTATATCCAATAACTAATTTTACGAGTCTATCTTATTACAAATGACATTTGATGGTATCAAAATATACGACTCTTGATATAGGGAACCATAGTGACTTCAAGTCAAAGGACCACATACAATACGATCACAATGAGACCAATTTATGACACTCATATAACAATTTACATAGTGATCTCATGGTGGGTCGGTCTAGTACATGTTCTTTAACATGTACCCATATGTTGACTTGATATCTCATATCCATAACATATTATTATCGATCAATACACATACCGAGTCTCAATAATTTATTTTCTTCATATTAATATATGTACAATAAAAAAACTTGACTAAGGAAGTTAAGACTAATAATGTTCTTGATATTTTATCATGTTCATTTAATAGAACATAGGATAGAGATAAAATTAAGTTTTCATCGCTAATCCTTCATTAATTGAACGGTTTTGACTTTCAAAAAGTCTGTCTAATTTTTCACCTTTAGCGACGGACTTTTCCGTTGCTAAATTGTGAGGGATGTCTCTTTTAGTGATGAAATATCTATCATTAAATCCAGAATAGTAACAAATTAACAATTTTGTCACTATTTTTCCTAACAAATTCATCCCTAAACCATCTCTAAAACTCCCGAGAAGATTTTACTACCAAATTTAGCTATAAATTAGTTTTCATTGCTAATAAACCGTCATTAATCCATTGTTACTAGTTCCTTCCGTTGCTATTCTATCGCTATTTGTTTGCTATTTAGTGATGGATCAACTTCCGTCGTTATTTGATGATTTTTTTGTAGTGAAACCTTCCAAAATCCTATAGACTTGTGTAAACATATCATAAACAAAACAAAGTTTGACAGGGTTTTGAACTCAATTGCACTCTAAACATGGTTATGTTGGGATTTTCGAAAGTTTTGTAATTTTTTTGTTCTTTTGAAATGAATAGTTGCCTTGCAATTTTCTCAAATGAGCAACGCAAAAGGAACCTATGAAGCTAACTAGTAGTTGCATAAGGTTTATATGAGAACAACTATATATTAACATTAAGCTTCATTCATACTTGACAGAATGCAACTTTCTTTCAGGCTTTCTCGCTCTTCTATGATTTGATTGAGTTGTTACCTGCTGTCTGCAGCAATCTGCAAGAAAATTTTTTATGTGGAATCATTAAAGTTTGCTGAAGAAATTCCAAATCATTGAAGAGGAATAGCAAAATGTAGGGCATCCCTATAAATTTTACTATGACATTTAATTCTCCGACGATAAAAATCATATAGAGTTACTTTGTTGATTGGCCAAAGCTTTAATTCATTCTTAAGGCTCTAAAAGTGCATTCCTCAGAATTAGGGGCACTTACGTTGATGGCAGAGATGATTGATGCATTTGAAGCTAAGTCTGTGAATGTTTAGGCCGAGAAGGGAGGAAAATTCAAATATTTCTCATGGACCAGAATCATTAGGAGGGGATAAAAATGAAAATTGAAATGAGAAATCTTAAGGTTATAGTAATGCCGTTTGGGAGAAAAGATGGTGGATGTCTTTGTTCTGCTAAAATCCTCTGGAAGCTTGGTTTATATAAGGGTACGAGAGGGCAAAGCTGTTCAATATGTTTATGTGATCACGTTATAAGTTTATACTAATTTTTTATTTCTGAAATAGTCCTATACTCCTATTCTTTCCTTTGGTGCTAATTTATCTCTTGCTTCGGACACAATACTTCCTAAGAGTCTATCCTTAGAACTTCCGGGGGAAATGCAACTAAGTGGTGTCTCTCATTATCTTTCAGATATGCATTTTGTCAGAGTTGATCATTACCTATCCTATATGAGAGCTGATTGGGTATAGGTCCTACGTGTCCAGTTTTTCAAGCCAGCAGTGCGCCATGTGGATTTAAGGAATGATAAAAGGTGGATTGACCTGAATGCCCTTACATATGTATACTCTGAATTGTTGTGAGTTTTGAAAACTCGATTAAGGTAATTAGTGATGCTAACAGTTCAAATAATAATAATAATAAATAAAAACAATATTGTAGTAATCTTCATTGGTAAGTGTTTCACAACCATCATCTTATGATTAAAAAAATAAAATTATTTTTCTTTATATATATATTATGAGTATTTTTAAGTCAATTTTTAAATAAATCGAGATTAAATTTATTATTTTTTAAATTAAATCAATGCTAGATTATGTTTAATCTTTAATTGATTTTAAAAATCAAATTTTTTTTATCTCACTAACAATCTATGTCTAATACCACTCAAATGCGGAGGAACTTTCTAAATATGAGAACCAAATATCTGACCTAATGAATCAAAGAAATTTTTTTTATCACTCTTTTCACAACCTTTAAAACTTTAAATGGTAGGTCAAATTATGGTTGAAAGTTGGAAGTCATTTTGTTTTTGGTGTCTTAGTATTCTTGCATTGTAACTGAACTACTCAACTAAAAATAGTCTAGAATTAAAAAGAACGAGGAAAAAAACCCACAAATGAGAAGAAAGAGCTTTCTCGAACCAAAATTTCTCCGGCATGACGTCATGTGCATGAGCATATGCCTCACCTCAGCATGTATATGTTTTTCTACAATAAAAATAAACTCACGGGTCTGAATCTGATAACTATGTGTTAATTAATTAGGTAATGGTCGTTGTATTTTGAAAAGTCGTTCGTAGAAAAGAAGGAAAGACAAACTCCATCTTTAATTAGCTTTAACTTCCAATGCACGAGCAGGAGGGGTTTCGAAGATTCCACAGTCGTGGAATATAATTACATTGAGGTCTGCTTTGTCATGCCCAAATGCCTGGTAATTTCCTCTTTGATTCCTTTTGGCGTTTCAATGAACGCAAAAGAAAAAGAACTCCATCCTATATCATATTGCATGACCCATGCATGTCGTACAAGGTCATTGGTCTTCTTTATTTTCTAATTTACGGAACTACCCACGTTGCTTCATTTCAACTACTTGTTGGAATGGAAATGGCTCCCCGTCTCACAAGTTGGCTGGTCAACTCACGACACGCGGCATCCACACGAGCACTATAATTACATGTGCCTAAAGCCAACATTACCAGTAATAAAATTTCAAACCCAACTCTTATTGCCAAACCATAATTTCTAGTGTACTTATATAGAGATCAACTAACTTCTTCTTCTTCTTGATTAGAATCTTGTTTTCTCTCGATACATATGTGTGTGTATACTGCCTTTTCGTTTTGGTACGTAGCCTATATACATATATATTGCTATAATCCACAACATTAATACTACTACTTACTAGTTTTGGTCCATTAGATAATGAATAAATACAAACAATATGAGCGTGTGTTTAGCCAGTTCGATGAGAACGGAGATGGGAAGATATCACCGTTGGAGTTGCAGCAATGTGTTAAGGCAATGGGTGGGGAGCTTTCGATCGCAGAGGCAGAGGCAGCAGTAGAGTTTTCGGATTTGGATGGAGATGGCTTATTGGGGCTCGAGGATTTCGTTGAGTTTTTCGAAGGAGGTGAAGAGGAAGAGAGGGAGAAAGATTTGAAAGAGGCTTTCAAAATGTATGAAATGGAAGAAAGTGGTTGTATAACACCGAAGAGTTTGAAGAGGATGCTTAGCCGATTGGGTGAGTCTAAGACCATCGATGAATGTAGAATTATGATCTCTCAGTTTGATCTCGACGGTGATGGAGTCCTCGATTTTGAGGAGTTTAAGGTTATGATGCTGTGATATTCTACTGGATATTTTTAGACGCATAGAAAAATTCATTCTTTGTACATGCAGTCCTGATATTTTTCAGGTAGGTAGTATTAATATTCATTGGATATTTATGATATACAAACATTTGTTTCTTTTAATTAATTTTGTTGTAATTAGTTGACTTTTTTTTCCTTGATACCCTATAATATTATGAATTTATTGATATTTCCTTGTGGTGTCCTTTCCTCTTCCAGAAGTTATGTAGGCTTTACACAGCCAACGCGGAGTCAGCGTTGACCTTGTCTATAATTATCCAGCTTTTCTAATTGGTCCTATTCGTGCAACATTTCCACGTATTTGACTACGTACGCCACGCATCACGTTTGCATTGCATGGCACGGCATGAAATTGGAGCTTTTTGTTGGTGCTGCATTTTAGGAAAACGAGCAACGGTGATGATATCAATTCTTCAAAGAAAAGTGAACATGAATATTAATGCTAGTCTAACTCACCCAATGCCTTGTTTAGAGATGGAAATTTCACCTGATGTATCGAATACTGGATGTCATCCAGTCCGATTTCAATTAGATTTAATTTCTAGTTTAATTAGAGACAGATAAAAAGATTTTTATAATGTAGATACGTAAAGAAAAAGAAAAAAACCCTAACAATATACGGTACACGCTCCAAGTTTCTAAATCACAGCCGCTCACCCAAAAAAAAATCCCTTTAATAGCACTCTCCTTCAACTCCTAAGACTAACCTCACCGGCGCTGCCCCTCAGCTCCTTTCCTCTTCTCTTCGCCCGCTGTAGCTCTTCAGACTCACGGAATAGGCTAGCTACAGAATTTTATTTGAGGATAATTACGCTATAAGTATAGTAATTTTTAACTTTTTTTAATCCGAGTATATGAATTTTAATTTTTTTCGTATGAGTATATTAATTTTTTTAAACTTACTAATCAAATACTTTTGTTCATTTTTTCGTTAACTAATAACGGGTCTAATTCAAAATACCAAATTATAATTTTATTTTTTTCTCAATTGAGTACGTGAACTTTATTTATTTATTTTTTTTAGTGCATCGACTTTTTTAAAACTATCAATCAAGCATTTCCATCACTTTCTTCGTTAATTGATGAAGTATTCAAATATAAAATTATAATTTTACCCACTTTTTTGTGAAAATAAACTTTTTTCTCAAATTATTTTAATATTTCATAATTTGAAAAATAATTAAAAATATATATTTTATATATAAAAATTCAAACTAAACTCAATTAAGTTGCTATTAAAAAAAAAAGTTAGGTTTAAAAATGAAAATTGAAAAAAACACAAATGAATCATTTCAATGAAAAATCTCACATTTGTGTTTCCTCCTGTATCCATGCCTAAACCTAACTAATATATATATATATATATATATATATATATATATATATATATATATATATATATATATATTTAATAGCAAGCCTTACAAAGTTTAGTTTGAGATTTTATAACTAAAATATATTTTTTAATTTTTTATCAAATTTTAAAATGATTTAATAATTTAAGAAGAAAGTTCCTTATAACAAAAGATGAAGAAAAAAAATTGGTATTTGGACATGTCATCAATTAATTGAGAAATTGATGAAAGTACTTTATTGATAGTTTTGAAAAAATTAGTGTAGTCAATCCGAAAAAGAATTAAAGTTTATATGCTCCATTGAGAAAAAGGAAAGATTGTAATTGTTATTTTGAGGACAACGAACACATGATAAATTAATGAAAAAATTAATAGAAGTACTTAATTGACAATTTTGAAAGAATTGATAACTCAAATGAAAAAAAAATAAATTTTATATACTTGATTGAGAAAATGTTGAAAGTTAACAACTTATATTGTAATTATCCAATTTTATCTGGCTACTCCTTTTTTCTTTCTTTTCCTTTTTTTTTTTTTTATGTCTCTAAGTTTCTTTAATTCTATTGCTACTCTAATCCACGATCAATTTCTAGGTTTCAACTCTTTCTAGATCTGTTTATATTTTCAATTTCTAGAAATTGTAAGAAAATTAAAGAAATTTAATTATGATTTTGCATTTCTTTAAATTTAGATTGCATGTATATGCTTCATTAACAAAGAAGGTGATGTGTTGGGTGTAGACATGGTAACGGTTCTCGAACCATCGGTTTCGATTTAGGAACCGCCGGTTAAGGTTCCACCAAAAGGTGGAACTCGAACCAAACCTTTTATGGATGGTTACGGTTCCGGTTTGGAATCGACGGTTCAACGGTTTTTTTATTAAATGAAAAAATAAAAAAATCGAATATTTTTTCGAAGGATAAATCAAACATTAACATTAAAACGAAAAAACTTCTTTTTTGCATAATGTATAAATATTATAATATTTTTTACATTGTAATGTATTTCGCACAATAAATCAAAGGGAAAAAGAGAAATAAATAAAGAAGGGCTTGAACTTAATTTTTGTAAACACTACAAAAATTAAGCTTCATACATATCCTCTTGGGGTTTAGAGGAATCAAAGCTTACGTAGTTCTCTTTTACATTTCAAATTACCCCTTGTTTCATAACCACCTCCTTGTTTAAATGTGTATTGCTTGTTGTAGTAGTTGCAAATCACGGAAAAACGTATTTTTCTAAAAAACTTTTGAAAAATGAATTTTGAAGATGTCGGATGATCTAGGTTGATTGTTGTTGTTGCTCCCCGCCTGATTTTGATTGGCGGTATTGCTTTGTTGTGATGACATATGTGAACTTGAACTTGCCACTTTTTATAGTATAAAACAATAGAAATGTAAAAAATTTAAGAAGTATTTAGAGTATAAAAAAATATTGTATGACAAGTATTGAGAATTCTAGACTTAAGAGTTTAAGAGATTGAGAGAGAATGAGAGATTGAGTTGTGAAGAGAATGAAAAAATTGAGAGTGTATTTATAGAAAAAAAAATGGTCACAAATGTGACCGTTTTGACAAACGGTTGCATATATATATATATATATATTAAGCCCAAAAATTAAAAATTATTAGGCTTAATTTTTTTTTTCATTTTTTAGTCCAATAGCTACTATCCAACCCATATAAAATTGGTTTTTTATTTAAATTTTTTCATTTTTTTGACCCAACCCAAATTTATTAGGAAAGATGTGGAACCATCGGCTCTACGGTTAACCGTCCGTTTAGAACCGTCGATTCCGATTTCATGATACCTTTAACCATAACCAACCCGTAGGTAGCCGGTTACGATCCGATTTGGTCAAGGTTACGGTTTTAATGATTTCGGTTTGATTTTTAACGATTTGGTTTCGATTCGGTTTATGATTCGAATCGAACAATTACCATGTCTAGTTGGGTGCGATGGCATTGACGGAGATGGAATAGAAAGAATGTTGTCCAAATTCATGTACCTATAATATGTTGTTTCATGGGCTTTGCAAAGGTCGAAGATTGAATAATTATCTTTAAGAAGTTGGATTCATTTGTTTTCTTCCTCTTTCACAATTGGGCAAGAGTTGATGCTATGTGGAAGTTCATCACTATAAGAAAATGAGCAATTAGTGTCGGATTGTATTTTATTGCTAATTAGCTACTAAATAACGATCGAATGGTGATGAAATTGAAAATGCAATAATTTACAATTAACCTATGATGAATTTGTGATTGAAGTTTAGCAAAGAAAAACTTATATTGCTAAAGCATGCGGTAAAAATCTATGCTAATTTTAGTGAGGGAATTACGATGGATTAGCGAAAGAATTTAGCGACAGATTAGCGATGGAATAAATTTCATCGCTAATTGCCCAAATTTTTGAAAAGTTGAGAAATTTAGGTGCCTATTTAAAATTTATATTAACGATGAACACTTATGCTCGTCGTAAATTAACTATGGATTCGAGATGGAATCATATCCGTTGCTAATCCTAAATCCTTAAAACTCGTCAGTCTTTTTCTTTTTCCCATAAGTTTCCCTCTTTCCCTATCCTCCTCCTCTTCTCCTCTCCTACCACCACCCCAACCACCAACCTAAGCCACTCCACTCCCTCCCCAACTCACTCATTCCGACGAGGCACTTCTCTCTCCTCAAAAACCATGTTGAAATTACTATTGTAATCTCTCTTCTCCCTCCTCTCCTTTGGTTAGTTCTCTCTCTCTCTCTCTCTCTCTTTCTCTTTTATTTTTTTTAATGGGTTTAAAATTTGTTAATAATATCAAGAGAAAATGCTTTTTGTGGCTAAAGTCGAGAAGAGAAAGACTAAATACAACAAGGACATGGTTGCTTACAATGAAAGATTGGTATACTTTCTTTTGTTGATAACCTTTTGTTTTTGAAGTTGTGCTTTTATGAAGCATAATTGTTAAATTGTATTTTGTTGTGAAAATGATTGATTTCTATTGGGTGATTCTAGGCTAGAGGAAACACTAGTGATGAATCTAACAAGTCCAAATCGAAAGTGAATGATGAGGATAAGGAAGAAGAAAGTTATGAGGATGTAGGTTTTAAATCAAAACTCGGATTCAAACTTGTATTATTTGTTTGGGGTTTTTCTAGAGTTTTGTATTAATTATCTTGTTTGGTTGTTGTTATGCGAAGGAAGATGATAATAAGTAAGTTGAATAAGAAGAGTAGCTAAGGATGCAAGGAATGAAGTATTAGGCAATTTGGTGTAAAATTGCTTAGATTGTAATTACTTACATTTCTATCTCTTAAATAGTAGTTCTTTTTTTAGTAGTTGATTAAAAATAGCTTAGGATTAAAAAAACAAAAGGTTTAGTTTCAAGAGTTGATGCCATGGAGCTCACATTGTGCTTTGTACTTATCAAATCTTTTGATGTTCAATAAAGCAACAGCTTTCGCTTTCAAAAATCATGTGGGTTCTCTTCAATTGTATTGGTCGTTTATTTATCCACATCATATGAAAATCAATATAAATAATTAATCATTTAATCATGCTCTTGTGAGAAACCTGTGTTTTATATTGTTTTAATTATCCATGGATTTAGCAACAAAATAGCGATGCAA